GAGCTGCCTACAGCATTCGTAGTCCTTAAACCCGGACACCAGCTCACTGAGAAGGAATTACTGGATTTTACCGCCACAAGGGTATGTAGGAAACCTGACGAGGGATATAAAAGCATATATATTTTTATACGAAATTTCATTTATAATTGGCGTAGATTAAAATAAATTTAACAGTTGTAACTCGTATAGTAACAGAATTGAAAAAATAGTTTTATTCGCCTAATGAAACTTGATTGATAACTTGGGTTAAATTTATATTAAATTTATTTTTGTAACAATTATATTTCAGTTATCGCGATCTAGCCAGCTCCGGGGCGGCATCATATTCGTTAACGAAATACCCAAAAATCCATCAGGCAAGATACTACGCCGCGTGCTGAAGGAATCATTACAAAAGAAAATAAAAAATAAGTTGTGATAAATATATTTTTGTATACTAATTTTATATAAATAATGTTGGTTTATTTACTGGTAAAGGATATTGATGCTGATTTATTGTTTTTTTTCTCCTAAAGTCCAATCTTAAAATAACAATGTGAATGTTTGATATGGTGTTTGCGCTTGTAGGCTATCTTTCTTTCTAAAATTTACGAGAAATCTTGGAGCCCGACAAACAAAAATTACGTAGATGATAACTATTTTAAATAAGTAGCCCCGAAAGTACCTTTACTTAATTGACACTTTATTAGGGACGTAGAGAAATGTAATGAAGGTATGTCATGTCCCTTAGCGGCATGATGATTGATAGCGAAGCGAAAATAAGTCGATACCCGATCACTTTGTGCGGGGACACATGCGCTAGCCAATCCAATTACCTTTAATGGATGAACGAACTCCCAGAGCTCCAGAGTGGGTGGTACTTCTGCAAATTTGGAAAATTGATAATCGCTTAACCGTTTTACGGTGGATATATTACCTTAATTTGTAGTATTATACAAAAATGATACCCAGCAAGTTAACTTTTTTAACAAAATAAAATCGTAGTAAGAAAGTGTGTGTCATATGGTGTTCATACACTAATGATTTTCGGATATTCTCCTACATAGTGACAACTGCAAAATAACTATATACGAGAAATGTATACAGACATAATAGGTGTTAAATATACCACCCAATTAAGAACTTCCTCCCTTTTTTAAGTCGATAAAATACGACAGAATCTTCTGGAGTTCAGATAGGACATCTGTACCAAATAATAAAATTTTGCAAAAAAAAGTTCGTTATGTTAAACTCTTGACATGTAATTAATTATCAATGTTACCAGTGCAGTATTTTCGTAAATATAAGAAACTAGCTTTCGCAAGCGACTTCGTCCGCGTGGAATAAAAAGTAGCCTATGTGATCTTCCAGACCATACTCTACATCTATGCAAAATTTCATCGAGATCCGTCAGCCGTTTCGGCTACAAACTCTAACAAACATCCATCCATCCAAACTTTCGCATTTATAATATTTGTAAGATGTAAGATAATAATTACCATTCGGTACCGACGAAGTTGCGAACAGCTTATAATAATACTTTCTTTAAGATGACTCTTACCATAAATAACAAAGTTAAACAACAATTGATTCCATTCGAGCCTTCTTAATTAAGCCTTGTCACTTGAAGCGGATTACGAGTGTAATCCTAGCTTTACCTACGCACTATATCGAGCGACATAATCCCGCAGGAAGTATTCAAAAGTACATCGTCACTGACCGGAGGAGGTCATGTAACCAAGGACACTATATTTTTTAATACTTTAATCTCATATTGTGTCACGAGATATGGTATTATGTCTTATTTGTCAATCATTGCTTCCTATTTAATAAGACCTACTACCTACACGCACCTTTGTAATACAGTATTGTTATTTAGGAATCTGCTATATTTTTAGAACACACCTTTTATTTGATAGGGGGATGATAAATTAAAACTGATAAAATTGGTCCTATCCGTTGTAGTTATCATAAACACTCAAGTGTTCATTTAAATCTAATAAAAAAAGGTTAAATAATTGTTATTATATCTAAAAATGCTATTCCTGAAGCATTCAACCAGACATCGCGATGCTGTTCAAAGAAAATAAACATCACCCGTAAGATACCAGCGCGTCATGGACGTACGAAATATTTGCCGAGCCGTCAATTTACTTTTCAAATTTCTTTAAGACCAAGACGTCCGAGTTCATAAACATAACGTTAGAAAAACATTCTGAAACTTTTAATACAAGTTTTTTCATTAAAGTAAACAAATTATTCCTGCTTTTCGCGCAATCAATTTAAATATGAGTTCAAAATTAATACTTCGATCGTAAACTCGATCTATTTTGTCTATTTCCGTGTCATGAATGAGTTTTAAAGTCCGCTCCGAATAGATATCTTTAGTGGGATATAAAATTTAATATGTCTCGTAGGTTTCGTGAGTTCATGACGCGTGGAGTTAATCGGTTTAGCGCGGGAGAAGTGCGCGCATCGCACGGGAAGGCGACTCCGCCGCACTCGCTCGGCCCATACGCGAATCGGCACACGCCGCCACTTCATACCGGCTATAT